CATATATTAGTTATATCATAATATTAATTTGTATTATTTTATATTATATTTTCATAAATATTACATTATATTATATGATTATACCTAATAAATTGTTGTTTTTCTTTCTGATCTCTTATCTGATATGATAATGATTTTGTATCTATAATGGTTATCATGATTTGCACAAAGCTATGATGTTTACTCATCATTTAATTTGAATTACCAAAGTATGACATGTTCATTCTTAGTCCTGAAACAACATTATAACCAACCAATCAGATTGTAGGGTTAGGTTAGGATTGGAGTTAAAGGGATAATTTTCTTTAGTTAAGAATTCTTTCATCATTACTCATTTGATTGATTTCTGACCAGCCTGTGAGTTTTAATTGTGACTATAGGTTTGTGTTTATGAGATGGATCTAGACTGGCTGTGATTACAAGAAAAGTAAATGGTTCTTGTTCAATTTTTTTCTGATTAATACTGCAACATCTACCACAGAATGGCAGATAGCAGGAAAACGGCAGAGAAGGACACAGAGGCATCACAGGCCACTCAGGAACAACAGGTAAGTCACACACTTCATGACTCTCACCTACAGACAATTAAACAACAGAAGTTCTATTTATTTCCAACAAATATGAAATGTTATATGAAATACAGAGTCATTCATGATGACACCATTCTCATTTTAACTATTTACATTTAATTTAAAACATTAATCTGCGTAAAGATGGTTTTATGAACACTTTGCTCTGCTTCATAGATGAAGCTCAATGTACATTAAAAACTGAGCGTAAACGGCAACAAACTTTAATATTTGTGTTTCAGAGTGTAGTATCCCGAGTGAGCAACCTGCCCCTGGTGAGTTCAGCATGTGGTGCGGTGTATAATGCCTACAGCTCTACTAAAGACAGTGTGCCACTCCTGAAAGGAGTAATGGAGGTTGCAGAGAGCGGGGTGCGCACGCTGGGTGCTGCTGCTTCAACAGGTTCCAAACCCATACTAGACCGACTGGAGCCTCAGAGTAAGGATCTCGAGCCTAGATGTAGTTTGTGTCTTATTATGCCTTGTCTTTTATTTGTGGTGTTGTTCTTGATGTTTGTTGAATAACAACAGTTATTCTTGTGTTCTTTTTCTTGTGCAGTTGCAATGGTAAATGAATATGCCATTAAAGGGCTGGAGAAGGTAGAAGAAACACTTCCAATTTTACAACAACCAGCAGACAAGGTAAAGCCTAGACGGACATGTTCTGCATGCAACCTGTAGCACTTGAATTGCTATATGAATTGTTATTTATAAACATTGTATCTCCATTGCAGCTGGTATCTGATACAGTGGGCATGGTGTGCCAGTCAGTAACGGGAGCAAAAGATGCTGTGGTGGGGGCTGTGCTGGGCGGTGTGGAAAAGACACGTATGGCTGTGGCCGGTGGCATAAACACTGTCATGGGGAGCCGTATGGGTCAGATGGTCAGTAACGGTGTAGATAAGGCCCTCACCCACTCTGAAGACTGGGTGGAACAGAACCTTCCAATCAGTGAAAAGGAGCTTTGTGAGTGTTTCAGTTCTGGCAACAGCTAATGAACCAAAATGAAGCAATAGGGAATGCAGTGTTAAAAAAAAAAAACATTTCACTTTCAAGTCCCACCATTGCTTTGTTACCGGGAAATTCAATTTATAACACACTGACCTGAATCTCAAAGTGTTTCATACAATATAACATGTTTCTTTTTATTTCATGTATATTATATTTTATATTTATATTAATGTATTATATTAGATGTATATACACTACTGTTAAAAAATTTGAAGTCAGTAATTAAAAAAAAAAGAAGTTAATACTTTTGTTCAGCTAGCATGCATTTCAAATAAATGTTGTTCTTTTGAACCTGTATCATGGTTTCCAGAAACATATTAAGCAGCATAACTGTTTTCAGCTTTGACAATGTGATAATATTAAGAAATATTTCTTGAGCATCAAATCAGCATATTAGAATGATTTCTGAATGTCATGTGACATTGAAGACTGGTGTAATGGCTGCTGCTTTGCCATCACAGAAATAAATTACATTTCATTATTTCATTATCAAATAGAAAACTGTTATTTTACATTGTAATATTATTTCACAATACTATTATTTTTTTCTGTGTCAAATAAATGTAGCCTTGGCGAGCATAAAAGACATTTGAAAAACATTTAAAAAAAAATTAATGACCCCAAACTTTTGGATATGTATGAATGTAAGGTGTTGACATCAGTGTTGTGTGTTCTGCCCACAGCTGCACTGGCTGAACCAAGACCAGGTGAGGAGGAAGGATTCATAGTGACTACTAGACCCAGCTATTTCGTCCGCCTGGGTAAACTGTCTGCAAAAGTTCGGGAGAGGGCACTTGAGCAGTCTCTCATTAGGGCACGCAAGGCCAGAGACACTACGCATGCAGCTGTGACTCAAATGACCAGCACTTTGGACCTGCTGGAAAGTGCCCGGGTAACCTTGGCCAGTGCCAACCAGCAGTTAGGGGGCGCTCCGGAGCAGTTACTGCAGAGATGGAAAGAATGGAAGGAAGGGCAGCCCAAAGAACTGCAGGAGAAAGTAACAGCTGAGACAGAAGTAGATACAGCAAAAGACAAGGAAGAGGTACAGTTTGTTTTACTTAAAATGCGATATAAATATTCATAGATATATTCTGTATATCTTACTCCAGACTATCAGACACATTCTCAGTGTGTATATGTATGTGGATGTCTCCTCATAGGAACTGGAATCGAGAGCTCTGTCGATGGTACGAGGTTTGAGTGATCAGCTGAAGGCAGCATGTTCAGGGGCTGTGTCCAGTATACAGGGTCTCCCAGGCACTGTGCAGGAACAGCTTCTGAATGCTCGACATACAGCTGGAGAACTCCAGGCATCTCTGAGCAGCACCAAGACACTCACACCCATTCTCTTAGAACAGACACGGCAGCAGATCGGTCAGGTATAGTCATTTTGAGTGTATGCAGTTTTGTACACTGTATACCAATTGTTATGCTTTATTCTATTTTACTCTATTCTAAAAATGTATGTAGAATTTAGAAAGTGTTCAATGTATATTTTCATCCTTCAACAGGTACGACAGTCATTGGATGGAGTCGTGGAGTACCTTCTCAATAACACTCCTCTCAATTGGCTGGTTGGGCCTTTTGCACCTCAGAAAACAGAGAAAGGCGATTGAAAATGCCATACAACTTAAGTAAAACTGATGAAATAAGTTGCTATATGGTTCAAATTGTTGTATGTTTTAACTATTTCCATTTTTAAATTTAAACTAGTGTTAACTGGAGTCTTTAGACTCGCACTAAATTGTTGAAATTACAGCATAATGAACATAAATGGCAAATTATCATTTCGTCAATGTCAGTATTCTAAAAGTATTGAAACCACTACCAGGTAGAGTATGTAGGTTTCTGTGGGTGATATACTGCTGTGTAGCATTCAAACCTTTGTGGTACTTAAATACTGAATACATGTATGTACTTTATGAATAAAAGCAAACCATTCTTCATAGTCACTGGTTTTGTAATTCATGATTTTCATATCATAACTCCTGCAAAATAGATATGTTGATTATCTGAAATGCAAAACAAATGGATCAGTGAAAAAAAAAAGCTTTGTCTAAGAAATTATTTATTTTGTAACCATTTGTTTTTTGCTTTCTGGGCACAAATTAAGTATTCTTAAGAGAGGTAATATTTAATAATGAACCATTTCAGCATATTTAAGGTTATACATACGCAATATCACAGAAGCAAGTGCCCTGTTATAGTGAGTATCTCTGCTCTGCTCTTGGAATTAAGGCAAGACAGGCAAATGTGTATTTTTTTTCTATTGTTTTTTTCATGCACTAGTCAGTTTTAAGATTTTTGGCTATTTCGCCTCCATGACATGTTTTCAATACACATTTAAAGGGGTCATATGATGTTGCTAAAAAGAACATTAGAATAAAAGTTACGCCTTCTTTCTTTGCGTGAACATTTGGGCGGCGTTATGCAAATCTTCCCACATCGTGACATAGACATGTGGGGGCGTGTTAGAACGAGCCGTTTTAGGTAGGCGTGGCTGACTCTTAACTTTTATAAAGAATATCTCTTTGGATTTGAGACTTTAGTCTTTGCAACTTTACAGATCTTCTTTATGCACCAAGAGCTTGTAACACTCCAAAGAGAAAGGAAAAATTGAAATCGCATCATATGACCCCTTTAAAATGACATCAACACATAGAGTAATGCTGCAGGTTTCAGGGGACCTTTAAAGGCTGTTTTCTCAAAATGAGTTTTATTTTCTCATGCACTGAGCCAGAAATCTCCCCTTCACAAACCTTCCAGTTTTATTCTGGAGGTTTTTAATGAGGGGTTTGTTCATAAATCATTCATACAGATTTATGTAATATTTTATTCCTGAAAATGTATATATTTTTTTTCTGGCTGCTGACAGTATTTTCTGATTTATGGAGTGATAAAACAGACTGTTAAAAAGCAAACAAGACAAGACTTTTCATCCTACTTGATCCAATGTTCCAAAAAATGTATGCAAATGAGTGCATATTTAATTAGATAATGACTCATTTGCATATTTAAACATAACATTTGTCTCGATGTACTGAAATTAATCATCCAGGGAAGTATTGTGATATCAATTAGTTAAAACTTTTACCATATTTACCTGTGGTGTCTTTTAACAAGAGGAGTGGAACAAAAATAACATACATACTGTTGCTATAATATGACAGCAACATGTGGATGCAGTTGACGGAATAATTCACAAAAAGGAGCTGAAGTAGGAAGCTTTGACACTGAGCTTGAAAATGAAAGCATTCACATTCCTATAACTTGCGCATTACCATTTTGCCCTCCCTAAAATATCTTCTTACATCGTTTTAATTTAAACAACTCTGAAAACTACAACTGTGGCACTCAAACCAAATAAACTGCATGTTATCTAAATACATGGCAGTGTTGTTGGTGTGAACTGGACTGGACTAGGGGGAAGTGTGATGAAGTTTCGATGATGGCCAAAAGATTAATTGTTGCGCTACGGGTGACGTCATGCCCGTTGTTTCGGATGACGCTGAGAGAAGCAGGCCGCACGCGCATAGCAGGAACCTACCCTGTCAAGGTTTCTGTGGATCAAGGTCGTCGATTTCTCCTCAATCACACGAAAATACGGGTAAATATTCGCGCTAACGGAGGTTTTAAGCCACTACAAGTGTTTGTGGGACGGTCTCGGGGTCCCAGCTGTCCGTTTTGTGTGCGTGCCATCACGTCAGCTAGCCGTTAGCAGAGCTAGCGCATTAGCCTGGCTAGTTGAGTATCACAAACAAAATGACTTTCATCTGGTCAGCGATTTTAACACGGTCAGCTGTACGTAATATTAACTACTTTGAAAGGAAAACATTCGCTTTCTGTGTCGCTTTGACGCTGATACCAAGTCGATTTGTTGTTTGTCGCGATACTCCGGTCAAAGACAAAATGTTTTTCCAATTGCGGAGCCACTCTCAGCTGTTTTTTCCTGGACATGCTCCAGAATAACCCTATTTATTCCCCATTTGCTTGGTAATCTGTCGTTGAGATAGTTCAGATAAACTTCCATTTCAGCGTTAAACACTTACTGGCTCGATTTTATTCGAATAACTGTTGCCAGATTGTAATCGTCATTTGATCAGCAGGCTGTTTAGGTTTCAGTAACCTGGATCATTCTTCGCTTGTTTGAGAAACAAAACGCGAACAAACAAAGGAACTTTTGTTTTCGTGCAGCATATTGTCAGCCTCTAGCAGGGTCACCAACAAATAAGGCAAATGGTTTAAAGTTGGGTTTTTGCTCACTGTAACGGGAATCCAACAACATTAAACAGTTTCACCAGTTTCATTGATAAACTTTTCGTCTCTACTTTTCTCTTCCCTGTTTAGTGTGTACAAATCTATTATTCTATAAAGCCATGTTAAGAGTAAATGAACAACATAGAAAAGGGTATTATTTTCAAAACTTTTCAGCAAAGTCAAGGGTAGAGCACAATAGATTAAATTTGATGCATTTAGTTTCATTTTAACGATGTCTGGCATGTGTTATGATATAGCAATTATGCATTTATAGTTTTAATGTGTTTTTAAAGAAATAGTTGGTAAAACTTTATTTTAAAGTGTCCTTGTTACACGTTGCGTGTGTTTATAGTACTAACTGTAAATTATGCATAATTATAAGCAACTAACCCTAAACCAAACCTATAGCAATTACATGTTGCTTAGTATTGCTCAGTATTCATTTGTATAGTAACAGTGCAACAAGGACAACTTAAAGTGTAACCGAATAGTTTGCTCTACAATGAAAAATAGTCATTGTTTATTCACCCTCATGTCATTCCAAACCTGGGTGCTGTTTTTTTTCTTCCATGGAACACAAAAATAGTTTTCACATCTTCACATTAATTATTTTTGCATACAACAACAGTTCACAGTGACCATGGACTATCAAGCCACAGAAAGGACAAAAAAAGCACCACAACTGTCTAATATGACTCACATGCTGTATTCACACAAAGCTATCACATGGCTTCAGAAGACTTCTAGTATAGCACATGAGTTGTATAACATTTATGGTACTTTTATAGGCTTGATTGTCAATGGATACAAGGTTTTATGGAAGAGATCTATGTGAAGTTAATTTTTCTGTTTCATAGAAAAAAAAAATGTCTCATGGGTCAGGAATGAAATCACGGTGAGTAAATATTGACAATTTTTAGATATAATTTCCTTTTATATCAGGCCTTTTTTGCCACTTCATGATAAATTATGCTTTTGAAATACTAATTCTTAGACTCCGTTTCTAGGATCGCCCTCTCCCGTCCCCCTTACCCCCTTCTCAAACAGCATGGCTCAGGAGACAAATCAGACGCAGGTGCCAATGCTTTGCACTATGGGATGTGGTTTCTATGGTAACCCTCGCACCAATGGAATGTGCTCTATCTGCTACAAGGAACATCTACAGAGACAACAAGGAGGGGGGAGAAACAGTCCCCCAGGTGAGAAAGGTAGGATTCTAGGAGATCACATGTACCTGTTGTATTAGGAATTAAATGCGCTCACTCAGTTTTGAGGTTAAGCAGAGTTCATAATTAGGATTCTGTTCGTTTCTTCCAGGTGCCACATCTCCTGTAGGTTCCCCAGGGGCATCTGCGGTAACGGTGGAGTCCACCCCTGTACCCACTACGGAAGCCGTTACCCCACCTGAAGAGCGCAAGTCTAGGTAAGAAGAACTTTATAAATCTGAGACTGTTCATGCTTCAATTGGTATAAACTACAAGTGCAAAACAGCTTGTGATGGTATAGGAAGGAAATGAATTATATAAAATAACTCCTGTATTCGGTTGTATTGTGTTTAAGCAGTAGTTCGCCCAGCCCAGTAACCCAGCAGATGACTGCTATGAGCATCTCCCAGGACACGCCAACCACTGATTCAGACAGAGCAGAAGTGGAGGAGGAAGAGGAGGATGGCTCGCCTAAAAGCACAGGTCTGCTGTGTTCTGTCTCATACATGCACATTGTACAAAATTATCTTCAGGGGCATTATAGTTAAGTAAAACTAAAAATCATAAAGTAGTTTTGTTCCTTGAAATGAAATAAACTTTAAAATAAAATTACTCAAAATTAATAATTTTACAAAATGCTTTTCAAATTATTTGTATTTATTTTATTATCTTATTTGTATTTATTATTATTTCAAATAATTTATATTGTAATTTTTCCTAATTAAACCATTGCATACATAGTATATTGATTCCGTTTAGTGAGACATGGAATATCCAACAAATCAAAAAAAAAAATTGGCAGAATATTTTAATATTAAACCAGTTGTTAGTAGAAATTTTATGCATATTCATCCTAGGAGAATCATGCAATTCACACCGAACTTTGTCAACATGATGCCAAGATACTGAAGATGCTAAATTGTAAACGGATTTTGGATACCTTGAATAGTGTTTCGATGGCGATTTATTAAAGTAACAGTAAAAAAAATAACAGTAATTTTCTTATATCTTTATAGTGCATTATCCAAACTCTTTAAAACTTTTTACATATGAAGAACAAGTCATTCTTAGGAAACATGCTTAGTTTCATAAATTTATAATGCTCAGGGGCCAACAAAAAAATTTAAAACTCAGTCATTTCAGCTGACAGATGAAGCCTGTAATACTAGTGTTAATTTCGTTAATGAAGACTGACGAAAATTGTTTGTTGACAAGCTTTTTTCCCATGACTAAGACGAGACGAAGACTAGACGACAATAAGGTTAAATAAATGATAACTAAGACTATATCAACATACAATTTCGTTGACGAAATAAGACGAGACTAAAATGTATTCAAAAAGATAAAAACTTTACCAAAAACCTCTTTTTATTTTCTTCAAAAAAGGAGACAAAATGTTATTGCAGACTGCTCTGCATGCCTCTACTACGCGAGCTTTCATGAGTGCGGTTGCCAGATATCAAGAGTTCTAATCCCCGAATCAGAGCTTCGCTGTTAAATTCATACATTTTCTGGCCTGTGTGTTTTGCTTATTTTAAGCAATAAGGTCAATAAACGATAACTAAGACTATATCAACATGCAATTTCGTTGACGAAATAAGACGAGACTAAAATGTATTCAAAAAGATAAAAACTTTACCAAAAACCTCTTTTTATTTTCTTCAAAAAAGGAGACAAAATGTTATTGCAGACTGCTCTGCATGCCTCTACTACGCGAGCTTTCATGAGTGCGGTTGCCAGATATCAAGAGTTCTAATCCCCGAATCAGAGCTTCGCTGTTAAATTCATACATTTTCTGGCCTGTGTGTTTTGCTTATTTTAAGCAATCTGGCAACCATGCGCACGCGCTCCTCATTGCGGAAGCGCTGTCAGATTGATCTGAAAAACAAACAAACTGGAGTTTAGCGATCTAAATGAAAAGCGTCATTCAGCCGGTCAGTGTTCTGTCATGAGATCTCGACTGTATTGTTTTGTGATTGTGATCGCTGAATAAATATACTTACTCAATCGCTGTTGTTTTAATAGAGAAATAGACTATTGCAATTATGGAATTAGTGGAATTACTGGAATTTCACTGTTATAATATTTTTCGTTTGTTTTAGCTGTTTTCATAATGTAGACAGAGAGATTGCATAAGTCTTTGGTGTTGATTTATATAATAAAAAGCCTATAATAAATCAGTACACTAGATGAGGTAAAATACACCATGTATGTGTCCACATTCTATTGATTTGTGCTTATTGGAGAAAGTGCAGTAGGCCTACCTGAAATGCAAAAGTAAATTTCTCAAATGACAACAATCATTACGATTATAATTTTGAGAAAAAATGTATTTTTTATCAGTTTAACCATTATACAGAATGACGAAAATGTGACTAATATTTAATTGACTAAAAAACCTGACTAAAATGCTCATACATTT